TCTCACATATAGCTGCAAATAAGGGTAATATCAATAGACAATGCTCAATATATTACGTACTTAGTATAAAGAATATAACCTTAGATAGCAAACAGCGGAAATACAACTCCAATCTTCGGGTGAAGACTCTAATTCCACAGGGATAACTGATTGGTTGATCACAAGCCTAACTCCTCCAGACTAGCAATCTGGTACCCATCCGGGATTTTTCTAAAGATTTTAAAAGTAAAGCAAGCGTAAGTACATGTCGTACTCAACAAATATAACATGGGGTTCATAAGGCTCAAAAGGCTGACACTGGTTTAACTGCGATTAGCTTTTAATGTGTCATCTTTTAGCAATTGGGTGGCAATCAAGTTTATCCACAAGCCCATGTAAACACATGATCAGGTAAACATGAATAATGAATAGCATAAACAGTAATCATTAGTGAGTATCTTTATCATAAGTGTTCATCATCTATTCCATAAGGGTCCAAGGCCGCTCGTGACTGTGAGCATGGTTAATATACCAGTTTTACACTCTGTAGAGGTTGTACACTTTCACTGTGAGTCATGATTTACCCTTTCGCCCGAGGTAGCTAATCTCTTGACCCACTTCCAAGGAGGTACGCGTTGCTACGAGCACCCAGACGCAAAAAGCACGCTAATCGGAGCTACGGTGAGAAAAAAACGGCTACAGAAAGATTCATCACTTTATAAAACAAATAAATGTAAGCTTGATTTATTTTAGCTAAGCAAAAGCCATGTGAAGTATATTAATTCATATTAGTCAAATCATCTTTTAATTCAAAAGTCGAGTAATGACTAGTCATATCTTATTAATAAATACGGCAGAACAATTTAAGTCAAATCAAACTTTAAATTCACAAAGATAAAAGAACACGTGAGAATATCTATTCGAATTATATGTAATGCATGTTTGAGCTAAGCAAATTTAAAACATATATTTTTTTGGTTAGCAATTAAGCATATTAATATTTGCTTATGAAAGACCGTGGTGTAGAACCTATGTTTGCTTTACATTGAGAAAACTGGTAGCATGGACACCGATCAATTTAGTATTTTATTTATAAAACTCAGAAAACATGTGACATGATTATCGCTACTGGATTACATCTAAATGATGCAGGCACGACGTTGATAGTATTTACGGCCAATAAAATAATGGGGCAAGGAAGGCTGGGCTGACAATTGAACATAGGCGTCCTGTCATTTACTTGCAGCCGATGCAGTGTTCTGCACGCTAGACACGGCACCAGTTGCAAAGAACTGCAGCAGCAGATGCAACGTCCGTCAGGCGGCTCAGCGAGCTCACGTTGGTAGTTCTCGGCAGCTTGATGGAGCTTGCGCTGCATGCCCGACGATGGACGAACGACTCTTCACGTAGGTGTGCCCGTCAGCTGGTGGATCAATGATGTTGATGACTTGTGACTTGTAGACGTCGGGGCACCGGGCACCAGATCGGCAGCAGGGCTTCGGTTAGGCTTGGGCGTCCGTCTTTGCAGAGAAGCTAGGGCGGTGACAGAACGCAAAAGACGTCGTGCAGGCTTTGTTGGAACTGGCTGGCGAACAACTTTGTTCCGTCGTGTCCGTGGTGTCGATGCTTATTGCTGGCAGCCTTTGATGTACATGTAGAGGGATAGAACTTTCAAAATTGAATTGCAGCAGATGATTAGCGGTGGCCTTAGGGCTTGGCAAGCAGCAAACGCTTGGCTTTCTCTCCTGCTCGGGCAGGGAGAGCATAGCGAGCCATGGTGACCAGGAAAGACGTGTACGCACGCGAGGAGCGGCAAAAGATTCTCCACGACGGCGAGGCAGCTTCAAAGCTTGAGATGGGAAGGCACGGCCGCGGGCACCCGGTATTTATGGCCAAGAGCAGCTTGGGGTGCAAGGCAAGGGAGGAGGCGTGGGCGGCATGGAGTCGACAGCGGAGTCCGACACGGGTACGATTCAAGGTTGTTGAATATAACGCTGACATGCGGGGCCCACCGGTCAGCGAGACCAAGCGGAGAGAAGGACGGCGTGGACTCGTGGTTGCTGGGCCAGCCCAAGGGAAGGAAAGGAATAAATAAAATTTCCTTTTCTATTTTCTTAAACACGGTTTCAAACCCAATTTCAATTTAAATTCAAATTCTTTTAAAATTTGATCAAACTCAAGCATCTTAAAAATAAATATGCAACAGCATGTATGCACCAACATGTTTCTAAACCTTATAATAAATTTTAATCTAATAAAAAATTATTATTTCTCCTTGTTTTCATGAGCATAAAAATACAAAATTAAATCATTTTAGCTCTATTTTAAGAGAAGCAAATTTTAGGGTGTTAAAGAGCTCCGCAACAACGAGCCTGCATTCGTTCAAGCAACAAGGTGACATTGCGCTAAAAGCGCATGTTGTAAGTGTATGTTTCAAGTGTTTCAGATGTTGCATGTGTGTTAATCTGGATGTTACAAAAGTATATCGGAATGTTGCACATGTTGCAATGGCTATATACGTATGTTGCAAGTGTATGTTCAAATGTTTCAACTGTGTTTAGACGCATGTTGCAAATGTACGTTTCAAATATTTCAGTTGTTTCAGACGTATGTTGCAAGTGTTTTATCTGGATGTTGCATTTGTTGCAATGGCTATACACATATGTTGCAAGCGTATGTCCCAAATATTTCGTTTATTTTAGACGTATGTTACAACAAGTACTTAATGTTGCAAGTGTTTTCATTTGCAAACGCGGCAAGTGAGAGCAATCGTAGCAGCAGCAGCAGGCGAGCGGTCCGGACGCTAGCCACGCCGTTCTAGAATGTTGGTTTGGCTTGTCATAGTTTTTAAACCCTAGACCCACCCCTGGTACTCAAGCCTTTCCTCCCATCACATAAGCTTATGGGCATTGCCACATTGTCAATGTGTGTGATGACCAATATTTAGTTCTGTGACATCAAAAACAATTGAGTAGTATCTCGCACGCCATCAAAAAAGACTTCCGTCGAAACAAAGACTAGAATGCAAATATATATCGCGGACTGCAATAGATAAATATGCATCAATATAGTCATCTGTACCATCTCACTCGTCCAGCGGAAAGTCACTCTTGGTGTGCGCGAGCCTAATTAAAAAACTCGTGCATACGTACATCTGGACACCGCCGACTTCATCTTCCTGCTATTCGGCATTCATATACGTATATATATGATTAATACAGCAATCGCCACGTTTGTACCAAACTTATTATTTATATAGTCCGTATATGATGAAATATATGTCAACTTGTCTCTGGAAGGACAAGATTACCGTGAACGTCAACGAACCTCGAACTTTCTGCAAGCTGAATTTTCTCATCTATATACTTGCATTACCACAATCCCGAATTACCTCGAGTGACCAGAACAGCAAAAGAAAGGGCTTAAACGGAACCGCCAAGCAAATGATCATCGGCCACAAACCGTCAAACAAACAGCATGTTCGCTTGCTCGTAAACGATCGTAAATTTCCAGCCGGAAACAGTGTTTTTCTCTCACACCAAACCAGCCAGCAGTAAATAATCCACGATACAATACGGCCTCCCGAACAGGCCGAAACTCCGTCAAGGATAGAAGAAAAGGGAAATTAGTTTCCTTGGTGGTTTTAACACCAAAAGATGATTTTCTTGGAGGCTAGCCGCTAAGGAAACTAGGGTCATACTTAATTTGCCAAAGGGACAAGAAAATATTGTAGTCGTCAAGTAAATTAGTTTTCTTCAAGGCCAACAACCTTCAACGAAATATTCCTAACTGTCAAGGAAATTAGTTTATTCAAGGGCCAGCAACCTCCAAGGAAATATAGAGCAGTAGCAAAAAAACAAAAATCAATGAAAGTTGCGCCTCATAGTATTCAAACCTATGTCCTATTGCTTCAAATTAAAAGCAATATTTGAGATCCTCAAAGCAATTTGTGACTAAGTGAATTATTTTTTTTCTTTTGTATTCGCTTTGTTGAATCTTGTAATGAATATTTGAGATCCTAACAATTTCAAATGTAAATGTTTGGACTAAAAAGTTTTAGATCTCATCGACTACTATATCTTTGGTTTAGGTCATATCTCCATCTGTGGTCATTTGAAAAATTCAAAAAAATCTAAATTTTAAAGCTCTGAGAATATCCTTGGGGTTTCAAATTACACTCAAAATATGAATTATCATGGCGGTTTTGAATAGCACTTAGGCCCCATTTAGATCATTGGAATTAAATTTATTTTAATAATTATAATTTAGACACATATTAATTAGGTTAATATAGTTGTATATGAATTATATTTGTATATTATTGTTGACTATATGAGAAAGATACTTATATGTTGTATTTCTACCATAGCGGAGTGAATTGAGGAGCGTATTATAAGTTGCAAAGTAGAAACATTAAAATTGTGATATATAGAATCAATTTCCATCTCCCACCCTATGAATTTGATATAGGCTTACATGTAAACTTTAGAAAGTGGTGGAATAACAAATTCCAAGCCAAATAACCCTAATCTATTAAGTAGATTTCAATTCCTCTAAATGAAAACATCCAAACGGCCCCTTAAGAAAATATGAATACCTTGGCGCTTTCAAATAGCACCTAAGGAAATGAGCAATTAGCTTGGCGATTTGTAATAACACTTATGGAAATATGGAATTACTTGCCGGTTTGGTTTAGCACTCAACAAGGAAACATTTTCTTTTGTTTTGGTCCTGAAGAAAATATTTAGCACTTAAGCTAATTCAGGATTGAAGGTTCGTGATCGTACAAGAAATGTACATCAAAGATGGCATGTTGAGTATTTCACACTCAACTTCTAAATTCTCGCAGCGCTTTCATCTTTCCATTCAGCTCGCTTTCGTGTAGCAGAAGCGTCTGGCGCGCGGCCGGGCGGCGACGTGGAAGCGACCTGGCCTATCATGCTGGTTGTCCATCTGCTATAAAAACCAACGCAACGCAGCAGCAGTTGGCAGTTGACAGACGCGGATTGTGCAGAGCCTCCATGCCGAGCGCCATGATGGGCTCCACTGCACTGCTCTTCCTCATCGTCACAGTGCACGTCGCTGCGGCGGCGACGGTTCATGAGCACTCACAGTGCCTCGACAACCCGCCTGACCTCTTGCAGCGCGGCGTAGAAGCTGGCAAGGTCGAAGACAACCTCCCGGGGGGATTCAGGGCCTATGTCACTGGCCCGCCCAGCTCCAAACGCGCCGTCGTCCTCGCCTCCGACGTCTACGGTTGGTTTAGGCACCTGCACGCGCTAGTCTAGCTAGTGCGAATTCAAGTTTAGTAGTTAGATTGATGTCTATTTTGTCATCCATCTGACTAGATCTATTGTCTGTTCTTTCGATATATATTCTTCAGGGTTTGAGGCACCTTTACTGAGGTACATATATAAATTGGTTTTCATGCAGTTCCTGAGTTTAAATTCCTTCTGATTTTGAACCCGGAACAAATTGCATATTAAGCAATGTAAATATATAATTGGTACCAAAGCGAAGCCAATAGCCATTACAAGTTTACAACACTAATCTGCTTCGATTCAGTTGTTTAAAAGATGCTCAGTTCTGTTTTCAAAAATAAATGGCAGGGGAACTTCACCTCCTTTTTGCTGGTCCAAATATATAATACTCACCAGTGCATGTCTAATAATGCAGAAAAATAGCCGATAAAGTTGGCGCGACAGGATACTACGTTGTGGTGCCTGATTTCTTTCACGGTGATCCTTACAACGACAGTAAAAAACTTTCAGAATGGATCAAAACTCACTCCCCGGTAAGCTGCATGCTATTCGCCTGTTATCGAAATTTACTTTGCATGACGAGCTGCAAACAAATTTATTGCATCTTCAATCAATCTTAAAGGTCACAGCTGCTCAAGATGCCAAGCCACTCTTCGATTATTTAAGACGGGAAGGAAAATCCGTTGGGGTTGGAGGTTATTGCTGGGGTGGTGAGTGAAATCCACATCAATCACTACAATTCACAACCATAGCCTGAATGAAATTTCGTTTTCAAAATTCTTCCTAGGACAGTACATAAAACAAGCTTATATCTACCTTTTTCCTGATTAACTGGCAGGAAAGTTCGCAGCAGAGATGGCGAAAACTGACGATATAAAAGTCGTTGTTCTTTCTCATCCAGCATATGTAACTGTCAATGATATGAAAGGTGTGTTTCCTTCTACCGCAGTTGAAACCTCACGGTTTATCACATTTGGGCGGTACATTGTGTTTTGTGTTTTGATGACTATGTGTTCGTGTGCTAACCATGTCCACCAAAATCACAGAGGTCAAATGGCCAATTGAGATTCTTGGTGCTCAGAATGACACAATCACACCACCTGAACAAGTCCGTCAGTTTGAGCAGGCCTTGAGTGAAAGAAAGGACAAGGTAGGTGAGTTCTTGGCTTCTTGCGGGGTTCAGTGGCACCCAATGCTTGTGCACCTGCATATGTGTGAAGTGGCAGATTCAGTACCTCACATATCTCAACTTTCGCTCTTGCAGATTGAATACTTTATCAAGATCTTCCCAAGAGTTGCCCATGGATTTGCTTGCAGATATAATACCTCTGACCCATTTGCAGTCAAAAATGCTGAACAAGCTCTTGCTTACATGCTTGACTGGTTCCATAAATACTTGAAGTGAAGACATGTTTGTGTGTCCACGAACGTTGGAAATGAATAAAAATGATGATGTTTTCTTAAATCCAGATTGTAAGCTTCTTGCGCAACAGTGAATAAATGGGGGATATTGATGCCTTGTTCTGTCCTAGTCAATTTTATACACACCTGGCTCAGATCACACATGGGTATTCTTTATGCATGCTCTAGCTTGAGAGAATTACTTCGTTGGTTTCAAATTAGTTATCATACTAGTTTTGTCCTAAGCATTGTTTCCCTAAGTGTAAACTATCGTCTACACCCGTGTAAACGGTACATGGAGGTCTGCATATAGTGTATGGCCTAGTTACTAAATTAATAAACATGTTTAGACGGTCAACAAAGTCAAAAAGGGTTTAAATGGTACATGGAGGTCTGCATATAGTGTATGGCATAGTTCCATAAATAGTACAGTTTAAAAATAGGTAAACGTGTTTAAATGGTTGGTCATGGTCACAAAAAGGCATAAATATGTATTACAAGAGAAATGAACCACCTATTGTAATGTGTAACGACATTTCCCCATGTGAGAGCTATGAGTATGTGACTATGTCTGTGTTTTTTATTGCCCATGTACAATTGTGCAACTTTGTGCCTAACTCAAATTGCACTTGAAAAAATAAAGTTAGCAGGGAACTATGATTTTTTTTTTTTTTTGCATATTTACTACTACAGTGTAAACTTTTGAACCAAACCATCTATACAATAAATAGAGGGTTGCTACAAACAACAAAAATTGCCCAAAGAAGGTAGACAAAAACTGATATGTGCTGATCTGGGGTTTCCCAAAACTGGTTGGGCCAGTTTTGGTAGCTTTGTCAACATGCAAAATGGACTTTACTATTACATTTCTCTCATTTCAGACAACTGTAATGCAAACGTAGGTTGCCCAATTTAGACGGTATAAGTCCACCTCATCATGTATATATAAAGGGCGACGCCCGAATAAGAAGAGGACAGTTGCACAAATCAGTATACAACTTTATTTTTTGTCATGTCTTCTCCTTTGACCTATTTTTCCAAGCCCTATTTGTTGTTTATCCTTTAATTCGATGATAAAAGGTGGTGCCTTAGGGTTGCCAGCTAACCTAGGGAAACCCAGTGACATCCACGCCCTGATAGGTCTTTATTGGGCAAGTGTTTTAATGGTCCTTTACTAGTTTGTCCAAAAACTACTCATTTGTGATCACGTAAGCATGACAGGTATTGACGTGAGCCTAATATAGGGCTACATATATCAAACCCTCGTATTTAGGGCACAGCAGTCTGGTTAACCCCTGACTTAACCTCCATCTAATTCTCCCAATCAGCCGGGGGCCTAGGGGCTACACCCGTCCTGTATGCTCGCGCGTACACCCCGGGCCATAAGCGAATGGCCTAAGGGGCCTCTGAAGACCCGATCTAGAAGAAGTCCTGGCGACTAAGGGAAGGGACCAAGACAGGAGGGTCCAATTCCCTCGCTCGGGCCGCCTTCGCTTGGGGGCTCAGCTGACCCAAGGGAGCCCCGGCCGAGCAAAAGCCCCCATAGTCGACCCAATCTTGGATAAGGGTGAGCGTTTCCCCCATGCAACACTAGAAGATAGCTCTAGAATCTATCAGACGCTTAGAGCCTGATAGACGTAAAAGCACTACACTGACGTCCCGTTCCACAGCCGTGAGGTTCACTCCCTCAGCAGAGTCACGCCAGGGGCTTAACGCGTCAAGACAAGGAACTCCTCGAGCAGGGGGAGAAGCCTAGCGTGCCAAGGAAGCCAGGAGAAGCCTCACCTATAGAAGGCACCGCTGCAGCAGATAGTACCTGGCGGTCAACACCAGGCTGCAATAGTGGCATCAGAAAGTGGTTGCAATTTGTCAACACCTAGCTACTAGATAAAGGAGGACCGACGGTGCCAAGAGGAAGAAGACCGAACCGTAGGTGCAGAAACCCTAGGAGAAACCATTCGCTTTGTACCCCCATTGCCTCCCCGGTATATAAGGAAGGCATGAGATCATGTAGAAGGGATCGATTGATAGACAACCGACTGATCAAAATGGATCAGAACTCAGCGAGAGTAGCATAACCCATCAAACTCTAGATTAGCATAGCGCTTTCCCCTACACCTCTCTCTCGATTCTTCCATTGTAAGAACTCTCGATTGAGCATTCCTAATACGAAGAACACTACTGCTAGACGTAGGGCTCAAAAGCATAAACCCCTTGTGTTTTGAGTGCACACATCGACCCACATCGAACAACTCGATGACTGTCATGGTTATGATCCCATGACACGTATCCTTGGCTGGTTTGCTCATAAACCTTGCCGCTCTTCACCATGTAAGCATGATAGTTTTGGTTCATGGGCGACCCATGAAAACTAGCTAGGCAAATTCTTCCTGAAACCAACTAGGCCAGTTTTCAGCAAGATCATGCCAAAGCGACCTGTTTGCCTTCTAAGTGTTCTAGCTCTTCAGGTGTGGAGCATAATTACGTCAACAGTTGCCAACCTATCGATGTTTTGTAGACCGATCAGTAAATTTATACGATTGTCGCGCTGCTCCAGGAAGACGATGGTAGCATCCAAAAGACACGAGGATTTCTACTGGTTCAGGCCGGAGCCCTACGTCCAGTCCTAGAGATGATCGAGTGCCTGTTCCTCGCTTGAATGCTCTGAAGTTATTACAATGGGGGTGTAAGAATTGTGGAAGAGGTAGGAGAATGGAGCTAGAGCTAAAAGATGGACTGCCCAAATGAGAGTTTTGAGAGTCCGGTGCCTTAGAAGGGTGCCCTGGCTTCCCTTATATAGAGTCCGGGGCCAGGTCACATACAAAGAAGGAGTTTCCCCTGATCGAGGGGTCATGACCCTGAGGGAGGGGACCTAGCTAACTTGGCTAGCAAGAAACGCCATCTTGACTTGGTGTAGTGCACGTCTAGGAGTGGTTGTCGTCATGGTCTTGTGCCCACGTCGCGGCATGGGCTGGCGGGGCGCTACTGTGCCGGTTGTGGCGGCATTGTAGGCACGGTGGTGATCCGCCAGCCGTCCCGGGCAATGTAGTCTTGTCGTGGCCTTCGTCATCACCTCCTGATATCCCAGGGTCATTGTACATGAGTTGGTAGCCACCCCTAGGTCATTGGTCGTCTTGCTGCTTGCGGAGCTGGTGGCCACGATCTCGAGCTCTAGGGTTGTGTCCTTCATTGGCTTGGATGGCCTCACAGTCAAGGTCGCTGTCGTGAACCCCATCCCATAGTGGGTGGGGTCGTACACCCGTCTCATCGATCCGTATTTGGATGGTGGGTGATCATACTGGCCGCCACTGCTTGGTGGTGTTGTCTTGTCTTCACTGCATGGTGCAGGGGTGGTGTCTGACCAGGCTGAGGGGACTGCTGTCTCCTCGGTCCTTGTGGGGTCAGTGCGTCGTGCATGCTCTTGTCAGAGTGGATGCCCCTAGCGGAGCCCGATCTCTCCCCGTACCTCCCAGGGGTCGGGGCGGAGCAGAGGTCGTGCGGCGCTACGCGGCACGCGGTGAAGGAAGAGTGAAGAAGTCATGGCCAACCCCTGCCTTAGTGCTTGGCCCAGGTCCACATAGCTTAGTTGGGCCTCGATCATTCGGGCTTATATCAGCTCATGTACCGTGGGCTGCCCGAGTGGTTGACTAATCGGTGCCTTGAGATACCTAAGGTATCATAACCTTAACACAACCATTTAGTGTCCACGGTCAAGAATAACAATAATCTTAAGACAGACATTTCTATCTTTAAGTGATGATTCTTCTAAATTCGTATTTTAATAACATGCGAATTATATAGGGCGCAGCTAAAAAATGGCCATGCGTGCGTTAGGCCACACGCACAGCCGTCTTCAACCTCACCCCCTCCCCCTTCCTCCTCCTCACCGATGGCCGTGCTGGTACCTCACCCTCGCCACCGCCCTGCCGTGGCACGCTAGGGCTTGGCCGGAGCTCCAAGACCCATGCCCACTACAACATCCTTCTCCCCCTCTCCCACCGATGCCATGACCTCCTTCTCCCCTAGCTTCGCCGCCACGACACTCTCGACCTAACCTAGCCCGGCTGCCTCCACCGCTGCCAGGCCCATAACCATCCTCCAGCTATCCCCACCACCTGGCTGGCTTTCCTCTCCCCAAACATTCCCTTTCTAAGCCTGGATGAGTCAGGGAAGATGAGAGGAGAGCTCGCTGGAACCCTAAGAAGCAGATATAGGAGGAGGAGGAGGAAGCCAACATCGCTAGATCCACCATGGCCACCGCCCATGGCGCGGTGGGGCACAGTGGGGCGCGGGGAGGAGCTCGCCAAGCGCCAGAGAGAGAGAGAGAGAGAGAGAGAGAGAGAGAGAGACAGAGACAGAGTGTGAGAGAGAGAGGGCGGGCGCATGAGGGAGGGACATGCATGAGCACGGGCGTCGGGAGGGAGATGAGCGTGTGTGAGTGAGTGTGCGCACGGCTGGATTTTAATACAGCCGTGCATATTAAAGTCATTAGCAATTATATATTGCCGAAATATTCCTCCTAATGAATCTAAAACCATAAAATTTATAATTTTAAACTATACAAATTTCTAGAAAATGATGATAAAAAATAAAAATGTTTGTCTTTGATAAATTAACTAGAACAAAAACAAGAACAACAACGTTTCTGAAACAGAGGAAGTACACACCGAATTCTCAAGGAGCATGGTCGTGTGCTTGCGCCCATTAAATCGTTGGTAATATGAGCAGCAAGTGCAAACTTATAAGGGTACTAGGTTGACATCACGAGTTCCCTAATACTCTCACGCGTCTTTCCTTTTTTTGACATGATCAGTGGTGGCCCCTCTGACATGTGGCTAGTTCACACAACAATTATTTGGACATGATTAATTCAAAAGAGAATCCTTATATGATTTCTCAAAAAGAAACTACATATGGATGTGAAACCATCTTACATCATAGTATCCGGATGTAAACACAACAATTTTTCAAAGAAACGTCAAAAACAAGAAATACTTCACTAGA